ATAGTTTGGACCCTCTTTATGATACATGCATTGTAGTCTACAACATCTAGAGTATTTTAGTGATCCTACCTTTCCTATTTGGGAAGGGACACTCCTCACTCTAGTTCACTCGGTGTTAAGCTAGAGTTCCTTTTTGAAATGTCTTTAATGTTTAACTAATAATAATAGCTTATTCTAGGTCATAGGGCCTAACCCTTGTGTAAACATCATCACCATCAACGCTCAATAAGAACTGCATGAGTATAATCTTTTCATTACAATTCATATAGGTGAGGATAGCACATTAACAATTTCATATCATGATAAGGCACATTGGTAAATCATTCACCATCCTTATAACATTTACATCTTAAGCTAACACCTCACAAACAATAGTCAAGACATTTCAATTCAATATTATACCACCCTATAAGTCCTAATACAAGGCATACTCCAATACCACATCATGACTTATTCACAATTAACCATATTTGAAGTAAAAAATAGGGATCACAAAACTTACCAAGTCTTGTTCATAATTCATTATCAAGGTCTTTCCATCAACCCTTAATCAACCCAATTACGGTATAACATCATCATCATTCAATGACCAACATGATAACAACATAAGAAAAATCACTACATCACAATTCAATACTAGTTTATAGCTTTAGACAAGATACATTGGTCAATTCACAACATACTTCATAACCTAGATCAACTTCTCAAGAATTAGCATGTTAGGACTATAATTCACCCTAATTAATTAATAATTAGTATAAAAACATCATCTAGTAGTAATTCAACTAATAACCAAGTCAATTGAAGCAATCCAATATAATTCATATCAAGATCATCACCTAGGGTCAAGGGATAAAGACCATCTTCTATAAACTAGAGCAATCCATCAAGATATATCACAATTCTGTTAGAATAAATATTGATCTATTCATAATATGCAAAATAAATCATAAACAAATTAATTCATAACATAATTTTTGATATTGGAAAAGACCCACTTGAAAACACAATTTTTGGAAATCAATTTGATGGAACCTTTTGAGGAAAGAAGTCTTTAAGGTGAAAGAGATCGCATACCTATCTAATTGATGAAGAATGATGATGAAAGTTGACTCTTTGCAGCCCTGAAACGCTCCCCTAGATTGGTCTTGAATGGAGTCTTCACTAGAGAGAGAAAGAAGAGAGAACGAAGAGTTTGGGTTTGGAAATTATGTGAGTTTGGTTTAGTTTAATTAGGCTAAGTCTCTATATAGAGGTCCTCAATTAACTTAATTGAACCTCACATAACCCTTAATGAAATAACTAACCACTTAAATAATTAAATTAATTAAGTAAAATAAAACAACAACACACTGAATTGACCTACGAGACCCTGATTGTCGGGTCGTAGTTCAGTCGAAGGCAGTGTCGTCTCCGTGCTGCACATCTGTGGTTTTAGTCACAGATTTGCCCAAAACAACCTCCTACCTTTTGCCAACTTTTGCAAGGGTCCTCCTCCAGGCCCTTGGTTGGACCTTGGGGAGTCGTGCATTTTTTAAATTTTGAACTATTTTTTCAATGGTTTGTTGAAATCTTTGTTTATTTTTATATTTATATAATTTAGAAGAAATCGTACAAATAACAGGCAAAACAGTACAATTTGATGGACTATAAAGTACAAATATTCTTTCTGTAGTTAAGTAAAAAACTTTTAGGAAATGTATAAATTCATTTATATCACGTCAATCACTATCATCTAGTCTATATGTCATATCAGAATTATGAGCATTGCAAATCATTTGTATGAGTATTCTATATTCATAAGAGACTACAAGCATTTCATATAAAGTATTTCATCTAGTAGCCACTGTTTTTTGGAATTTTTCTAGGTGGAAGACTAGTTTCAAAACAACAATTTTGAAAATCTTTACGCCTAGACTTATCTTGACATTTAAATATAAAATGACATGCATTTTCAACTTTCATACATCCGTTATCATACATATATACACAATCTCTAACCATCAAATTATATATATGTGTAGTGCACCTAATATGATAATTATCACAATAGAAAGGATAGAGTAGGTTTTAAATATTCAACAACAACATTATTATTTGAAGCATTATCTAAGGTTATACTACTTATTTTATCACATATTCCATAACTTTGTAAAATATCTAAAATAAATTGAGCAATATAACTATTGAATTTTTTTGCATCTGACAACATTTATAACCTAAAATTCTTTTTTGCATATACCAATTTTCATCAATACAATATGCAGTAGCAGTCAAATAATCGTTACCGTTTACACTACAACCCATATCAAAAGTAATAACTATTTTACAAGTATTATAATAAACGAAGATATTAAAAATATTGTGCATGATAATCAAATACAACTTTTTTATTGTATTTCTAGCAAAACCTTTAAAATTTGGATATATACAATTTGAATATAATGTATAAAACTGTGATTTTCAGCAAAACTAAATGGCAAATCTATAACACATATCATTTTAGCTAGTTATTCAAGATCTTTTTCTCTACTATATTAAAGTGGTAAATTAGAGCCAGAAACATTAGACAGATTTAATTGTGTTTGTACCATGTTAGAGCCGCCAACTCCTACATTTTCAGGAAGGGGGTACCGGTTTTTTCAGCTTCCGCTACCACTTTAGCATGCAAAATTCATTTTTACAACAAGACATTAAATGACTACTCAAATGTCCCGTCCCGCCAGATTTACCAAGAGTTTTATGATTTAATCTATGTTTACATTTATTGCATATAGCTTGTGTTTTATCTTCGTTTGTGTCATAAATTATCAAATAACCAATTTTGTAGCACGTTCTACTTAGGCCTAGGATGTACAGGGGAAACAGGGGCAGGACAACGAAAGGGAGCGGGACTGGGAGTATTAGTAGCCGTAGGTGGCTCAGTTTAATCATCATCATCATCAAAAGTAGGCGTATTAGTATAATTATCAATAACATTATCATTATCATTATCACTAGGCAAATCCTCATCAAAATTACCAAAGCAACGTTGTATATAATCATGATAAGGAACTAATCCTGAATTACTATCAATATTAAAAATCATACATCAACATGTGTATAATCATCCGTATTTATTCGTAATATAGTAGATTTTTTTAGTTTTGATTTAGAAGAACTACCAATTTTTGCATTATCGGAGGAAGTAAAGTTACACATATCTTCTACACGCTCTAATGCACTTTTTATACCCTTTCCTTTTTGAACAATATTTTACTGAAATTCATATTAAAATATTAAACGTGAGATTATATATAATATGAAAAATGTAATGCAAATAATAAATCACAAAATAAATAAATTATTATTTAAGTATATATGAAATGTAAAAGAAAAGTTGAAATGAATGTATCGAACGTCTATTTAAAAAAGTAGACGTTTATGATCGCCGAAAGCCGAAAGCCGAAAGCCGAAAGCCGAACGTGAAAAGTTGAAAATTGAATTTTGAAGATCCAAATCCAATTTTCAAAGAGCAAATAAGGAAATACCGAAATTTAAGATATTATATAAGAGAACTAGAGAGTAGAGAGTTGAGAGAGTAGAAGATGACTAAATGATTTTGTGATTGAAAATAATGAAATTTAGGGATATTTATAATAAAAAGAATGAGTTAAAGTGTAATTTTTAAAATATTAGAGTATTAAAAAATATGGAGTAGGAGTGTAAATGACTGAAATTTGGATCAAATAGCTGTTGGGGGCCACTAGCCATTATCCAACCATTATAAACGGATAGAATTTTTTTTTTTTAAATATTGACCCAACCTGTAACAGATCGGTAATTTTCACAAATGGGAGGGACCGGTAAATTTCGATTTCCGTCTCGTATCTGTCCCTGAACTGGACTAAACCAATCTATACCGAGATTAACCGATACCGAACCGGACCGGTAACCGGGACTTACCGTTCCGCTGCGACTTACTCTCAACTGTTCAACAATTTTATCACGAATCTGAAGCATTCTTCAATGAAATAACTTCTTTTGGTTTGTCCATTCTCCCATAGCAAGGCATGAATTTTGGTTGGTGGTTTCTCCATTGAAAAGCACTAATTTTTAGTTGTCAATATTTTGCAGATTTGTGGTTGATAACACCCTGAGGTTGTTTTCTTTAAGAAGCTGGAGAGTGTTAAACCTTGTGAGATCTTAGAACTAAAAGATGGCACTCACGTATTCTTTTTTTATGGTTGGATCTACTTATATTACTGAATACTTGGTTTGTCGCATCAAAACACCTTCTAATTTCCGATTGATTGTCTACTGCTAAATCCTCAAGGCTGAATTTTGATCTGATTTCCGCATGAGATAATTTCTTTAAATTATCTACTTTACGTATGTGGGTGCCAATGTAGGAATCATCGACGGTTTAATCAATGAAGTTTGCCCATCATGGGTTGTTCTTCTAATTGGGTCATTGATGAATTTTTCTGGCTACATTTACTTATGGTAAGCAGTCAACAGTGATGAATTAGTCAGACCCTAGGTTTGGAAAATGTGCTTATGTTTAATGCTTGGTGAAAATTCTCAAAATTTTACTATTAGTAGTGCTTTAGCAACTTGTCTTAAGAATTTCCGAGAAAGCAGGGGAATTGTGATTAGATTGTAAAAGGTTTTATTGGTTTAAGTGGTGCAATTATAAAATAATTGTTTCATGCTATTTATGGGAAAAATGGGAAATCATTAGTTTTGTTAATGGCTTGTATTCCACCATTTGTTTGTTGTATTTTGCTCAAGTATGTTAGGTTTATGAAAGGCGTTAATCGTCAAGAAATGAGGTGAAGATAGTTGAGGCTCTTCGTGCCAAGTTATACAAGGATACTACTGTTAAACTCAAAGAAATCTAGGCTCAAATTTTAAGGAAGAGAAATGCGCTTCGGCATTTTTAAGTCGAATATATAATGGTGTCACGACCCAATTTCTCGAGCCATGAAGGCACCTACTATAACCCATCACTAGGTAAGCCAAAACATAAATACAATAAAGGATCCCTCCCAGAACCTGGAAGTCACTAATACAGAGCTACCAACAAAACGAGTACAAGTCCCAACAGTGGACCACCGAAACTAGACTGTCTCGAAAAGTAAAAGACAAATCTTTATATAAACAGATGGAGACTGAAATAGTACAAAACGTTGTGTGCTCACCCCTGTCTCCAGACCAGAAATTCTCCAAACTCGATCAACGCTGACTACCGGTGCTCGGACCTGCATCACGAAAATAGATGCAGAGCGTAGCATGAGTACCAAAAAAAACAGGTACCCAGTAGGCATCATAGGCCGACTGAACTAGAAAAGTAAAGCACTATGAAAAGACGGAATCACAAAAGTAGAGATCAAGAACAGAAGGCTAAGTAACACAATAATGCACACGAGTGTATAAAAATCTAACTAAATTAATATAAATAAGCTAACTACACCTAACTGGACCCACCATAAGCCCTGAAGGTACACTCGTGCACAAGTTTAAATAAAAACCCGAACGGACCCCCATAAGCCCGACGAGTACACAAAATAACTATAACTTAAGGAGAATAAAACTCGAGGCCGAAGAACACCGAACCAAAAAGTAAAATCTGACGGTACGGAGGTCGGGCCTTAAACCGAACACTCACCAGAATTACACAAGTAGCCAATTGCAAAATATAAGTAACTGAGGCCGGACCTCTAACTGGATGCTCTACATACTTGAGGCCGGACCTCTAACCGGATGCTCTACATAATAAGTGTGTGGATGTTCTAGGCCGGACCTTAAATCCGGATACCCGACAAAGATGTCGATATAGCTGCTGAAAGAGTCTTTATCTATCCATAATCATATAAACCCGTGGAACACCATCCAGACTTAGGTAATCAATGTAAGTCCTTAAAGCTGAATCGAACTCAACTTTGAATCACGGAGCGGAAATCATTGACACTGACGTAACTCAAGAAGCCGTAACATCGAAGAAATAAGAGTAACTATCGCTAGAGCAAGCTCATCGTCTTTCTAAATACCCAACTATCAGACTCAAGTGTTCTACATCAGTCTACAAGGATTTAAGCCGACCGAGCGACGTCGGGGCTAAACTAAGTCCTACCGACTTTGAATCATGCATTTCTAAGGAAAACCCTAGTCAAACCTAAACTAAGGCCCAACATACTTCTGACAACCAGTATTCAAACATACAAATAATTCATATAGTAAAGAAGGTCAATTAATAACAATAAACATGCTCACAGTTACCCAATAATTCTATGAAAAAGGGCGAAAATATGATTCTTAACACCTATGGATGATCCAATAACTACCCAACCCAAATCCCAACTAATCAACATGCATTCATATGTTCAAGTTCAATCTAAGAAGAGAAACCATAGCCTACCTGAACGCAGATCACGCGCGCTCTAAAATTCACTCCCCGGATCTTTTACTTTCTAAAAGGCCTCGAAACGTTGATACACTAAAATCGCAAGAAACGGAGACGGGTCAATTTCATGGTCAAAAATGGAAAAAGTGGGATCCGCGTTGAGAAATCCCGAATTAACCCCAAATAAAAGTCCTAAATAACTCTCGAAACTTGTATACCATAATGGAGCATAATTCAGGACTCAAAACAGTCCCAACATGAACATGCAACAAAACAACCCAAATTCTAAGCTAAAAATCAGCAACTATGGCAGCAGCTACTTACAAGATTTTACCAAAAATGAAGCTCCAACAGCCAAAACCAACCACACCACGACGATCCTCACGAAAAACCACACAATATAGGCTCTTGAATCACTTGATTCGGACCTAAAATGGCCAAGAAATCACCTTCTAAAAAAACCCAAAACTTGTGCTCGAAAATGAGCTAGACAGCAGTTAAAACCCAAAATTTACCTCAAATCGGGTCCCCAAATCAGATTCCAAGCTCACCAATGCGTTGCCCTAGAAAAATCTCACAACTTAGCCTTTTGAATCGCCCAATTTGGAGTTGTATAGCTCAAGATATCAAGATTCTAAAGTAAGATATAAAACTGAAAGTTGGGTTTTTATAGGGGCTGCACCAGATTCAGCTTTGCCTACTTCCTTTAAAGTCTCCGACGGGTGCTCGGAATTCGTTCGGAACCTGATAAAAATAAAATAGATATGCTACCATACCAAAGTCGACATTTCGGACTCAAAGGCGCAGTCAAAATTTTCATCAGAGGTCATCTCGATAAAATGTGGGTCCCACTTCCATTGCCATTTTAAGTCAAAAACAACAAAAGGGCTCGGAAAAATATCAAAAACCTCAAAACCCGAAAGAAGGGTCAAACTAGACCAAAGTCGACATTCCGGAGCTAACCGCGCTGACAGAATTCTCATCCGAGCGCGTTTACTCAGAATGTTGACTAAAGTCAAACTTAGCCTTTAAACTTAAAGTTAAAACGCCTAATCCCACCAACTCACACTGAAAACTTTGGGAGTCATGTCGACAATGCTACTAGACTAAAATGACCCTTCTGGAACTGATGGAATCGTCAGAATTGGATTCTGATGTCATCTTCTTGAACTTTTGATCGAAAATGATCGTTCAAGGTTCATAAGCTCCAATACTAAACTCACACAATAACCAAACGAATGACCAGGTGACCGATCTGTCAGTCCCAGCAAGTCATAAATGACTTGGAATCGCTATAGGAACGCTCTAAACGATGTACAGAATATAAAACACTAAAAATGACAATAAGGGTAATTACAATATCCACTACTAAAAAGAACTTTCGTCCGCGAAAGTAAGGGTCAAGAAGTACCTGAAGGCTCAAACAAGCCGGGAAACTGCTCTCGCATCTCCTGCTCAGTCTCCCAGGTAGCCTCCTCGACTGAACGAAGCCTCCAACAGACCTTAACAATAGGAGTGGCTCTCGAGCGCAATTTCCTCACATCTCTGGCTAGGATGGCAACTGGCTCTTCTACAAATGTCAAATAATCATCCAACTCAATTGCATCATACTGGAGCACATGGGACTCATCAGGAATATATCGGCGTAGCATCGAGACATGGAAAACTGGATGGATGGCTGAAAATGCTGGAGGTAGGGCCAACTCATAAGCAACCTCCCCAACTGTTCGAAGTATCTCAAAAGGCCCAATATACCTGGGGCTAAACTTACCCCGTCTCCCAAATCTCATCACACCCTTCATGGGTGACACACGGAGAAATACCCGATCACCAACAAAGAATCTCAAAGGTCGACGCCTCCGATTCGCATAACTCTGGTGCCTACTCTAAGCTGTCCTGAGTCTATCCTGAATCACTCTCATCTACTCCAAAGCCTCCTAAATCAAATCTGTACCTCGCGGCCTAGGCTCTGTAGACTCGAACCAGCCCACTGGAGTGCGACAACGCCTACCATACAAGGCCTCAAACGGGGCCATCTGAATGCTAGAATGGTAGCTGTTGTTATATGCAAATTCTACCAAAGGCAAGAACTGGTCCCATTGACCACCAAACTCCAAAACACAAGCCCGTAGCATGTCCTCAAGGACCTGAATAGTGCGCTCTGACTGACCATCAGTCTGCGGGTGGAAAGTTGTGCTCAGGTAAACCCGGGTGCCCAACTCATCCTGAAAGGTCCTCCAAAAGCTAGACGTGAACTGAGAACACCGATCTGATATAATAGAAACTGGCACCCCAAGAAGTCGAACCACCTCTCGAATGTAGATACGAGCCAACCTCTCGGCACTAAATGAAGATTGAACGGGAAGGAAATGTGCTGACTTGGTCAATCGATCAACGATGACCCAAATACTATCAAATCCTCTAGAAGTCCTCGGTAGACCAGCCACAAAATCCATAGTAATGCGATCCCACTTCCACTCCGGAATGGGTAATCCCTGAAATTCACCACCAGGCCTCAAATGCTCAGCCTTTACCTGCTGGCAGCACAAGCAACGAGAAACAAAGTCAGCAATATCTCGTCTCATGCCACTCCACCAGTAATGTTGTCTCAAATCACGATACATCTTCGCTGTACCCGGATGGATAGAATATCTAGACTCATGAGCCTTCGAAAGTATCAACTGTATCAAATCTCCAACTCTAGGGACACAAATGCGACCAGCGAATCTCAACACTCCATCAGGATCTAAGGTAGCCTGATCACCATTACCCGCTAACACTCGATCTCTAAGGGACCCCAGGGCCTTATCCTCAAATTGACAACCACGGATCCTATCATACAAAGAAGACTGAACTCCCATATAAGCCAAGACGCGTCTAGAATCTGATATATCTAATCGAACCATGCTATTGGCTAAAAACTGAATGTCCAAAGCCAAGGGTCTTTCACCTGCAGATAAGAAGGCTAGACTACCCATACTCACCGCCTTTCGGCTCAAGGCATCTGCTACCACGTTCGCCTTGCCCGGATGATACAGAATGGAGAGATCATAATCCTTCAGGAGCTCAATCCAATGACGCTGCCTCGAATTAAGGTCCCTCTGGCTCATGATGTACTGAAGACTCTTGTGGTCAATATAGATCTCACATCGAACTCCATACAAGTAGTGCCTCCAAATCTTAAGCGCGAAAACTACTGCTACCAACTCCAAGTCATGGGTGGGGTAGTTGCGCTCATGGACCTTAAGCTGCCTCGACGCATACGCAATAACCCGGCCCTGCTGCATCAATACACAACCCACACCAACACCAGACGCATCACAATAAATCGTGAAACACTCACCCTCAATCGGAAGAGTCAATATAGGAGCGCTAGTAAGCAACTCCTTGAGCTTCAGAAAGCTCATCTCACACTCCTCCGACCGCACAAAGGGAATATCCTGGCGAGTCAACCTAGTCAAAGGAGCTGCAATAGTAGAAAAACCCTCAACAAAACGCCTGTAGTAACTCGCTAACCCGACAAAGCTACGAACCTCAGTAACAGAAGTGGGTCTGTCCCAATCACGAATATCTTCAATCTTCGTCGGATCTACCCTAATACCCTCCTTGGACACCACGTACCCCAAGAATGCTACAGACGCAAGCCAAAACTCGCACTTTGAGAACTTGGCATAAAGCTGCTGATCTCTCAAAGTCTGGAGCACTATCCTCAAATGCTGCTCATGCTCACTCCGGCTCCGCGAGTATACCAATATGTCATCAATGAAGATGATAACAAATGAATCAAGGTATGGCCTGAACATACGTGTCATCAAGTCCATGAAGGCGGCTGGGGCATTAGTCAATCCAAAAGACATCACAAGGAACTCATAATGGCCGTAACGAGTCCTAAATGCAGTCTTAGGGATGTCTGCTGCTCTAATCCTCAGCTGATGGTACCCGGACCTCAAATCAATCTTAGAAAATATGACGGCACCCTGAAGCTGATCAAACAAATCATCTATACGAGGCATAGGGTAATGGTTCTTCACCGTCACCTTGTTCAGCTGTCTGTAGTCAATGCACATCCTCAAAGTCCCATCCTTCTTTTTCACAAACAGAACAGGAGCACCCCAAGGCGACACACTCGGACGAATGAACCCCTTTTCTAAGAGGTCCTTTAGCTGTACATTGAGCTCTCTGAGCTCTGCAGGAGCCATCTGAGAAGGCGGAATAGAAATAGGACGAGTGCCAGGCTCCAAATCTATAGCAAAATCAATGTCACGTTCTGGGGGTAGGCCAGGTAGATCTGTAGGGAACACATCTGCATACTCTCTAACCACAGGAACTGAGTCAACTGAAGGGTCCTCCCTACTCACATCTCTGATGTGGGCCAAATACGCTAAACACCCAGAAGAAACCAACCGCCTAGCTCGAATAAAAGAGATTATCCCTGTCGGTGTGTGACTATAAGCAGCCTGCCACAATACCGGGGGAACACCAGGCATGGATAAGGTAACAGTCTTGGCATAGCAATCCAAGACCGCATGATATGGGGATAACCAGTCCATGCCCAAAATCACATCAAAATCAATCATATCTAGCATAATAAGATCAACTCTAGTATCATAACCCTGGATGGTCACTAAGAAAGATCGCAATACTTGATCCACTACTAAGAACTCACCTATCGGGGTCGAAACATGAACCGGCTCTTCCAAAGACTCGGACCTCATACCCAATCAGGGAGCAAAATAAATAGATACATACGAGAATGTGGACCCTGGATCAAATAATACTGTAGCAGGCTGATGGCACAAGAAGAGCGTACCTGAGATGACATCATCAGATGCCTCAGCCGCCGCCCTTGTCGGGGCAGCGTAGAAATGGCCCTGAGCACCTCTACCTAGTGCACCCGGTCTACCACCTGACCTGCCTCCCCGAGCTCCACCCCTGGTAACCTGTCGACTCTCTCGACAGTCCTGAATCTGACCACCTCCTCTAGCCGAAGAAGACACGGCTGAAACTGGTTTAGAAGTAGGTGGAGCTGGTACAATCACCCCCCGACCTCGCCGGGGGCATTCTCTAGACCAATGGTCAAGAGCACCACAATCATAACACCCCGAAGTTGAACGCCCTGTAGTAACCCGACCGCGGCATGGAGGAAAAGAATCTGATCCCCTCGAATTCTGGCCTGTACTAGGACCACTCTGCTGATATTGACCTCCCTCAAAAACAGGTAATGCCGCCTGAACAGGCCGACTGGTCTGACCCTGCTGGAACCTCTGACGTGGCCTATCATATGAGTCCCTCCCCCTAGTCTGCGACTCGCTATAGCTGCCCTGGTAGCGTGCCCTCTTATCGCTGCCCCCTTGGGCCTCACGGTGAATATGCTCCATGGATCGGGCATGATCAACCATATCAAGAAAAGAACGGCCAGCTGAAACCATATGCTCTGTGTCAACCCTCAAACGGTATTGCAACCCACGTACAAAACAATGAACTCTCTCTCCCTCTGTGGGCAGGATCATAGTAGCATGGCGAGACAACTCATGGAACCTCGCCTCATACTCTGAAACGGTCATAGATCCCTGCTCCTATCTAGAGAACTGATCACGAAGCCTGTCTCTGACGCTCCGTGGC